TGTGTGTGTGTGTGTGTGTGTGTGTGTGTGTGTGTGTGTGTGTGTGTGTATTCAGAAGTGGTGAGTGGATCTGGAAAGTGAGAAGAACCAGAATGTACAAATGGCATTAGAGAGGCCCTCTCCCATCCCCTCAGTATCCTTTCTCCTCTTCCCATCCCATCCAGGGTCTCAATGTCAGCTAGAAGCCATGTACAAATGGGAAGAAAAGGAGACTGGCCTGCCTCTCAGCCTGCAGGGCCTCACCCTGCTGGGCACAGAGGGATTCCCTCTGTCCAGCCTTCAGCTTTGTCTCTCTCTGGAGAGGGCACTCCCCACAGGGCTGACAGCAAGAGTCTATGGATGCCCACAGCTCTCTGTTCTAGACCTTCTTCTGTGTAAGTGGCCCTAGCCAGCAGGGCTGTCCCAGCTCCTCTCTGGACCCAGCTTCCTTAGGTTGAGCAGTAAGCAGGCAAGTGGAATTCTGGGCCAGAGGACTGAAAGAAGCAGCTACCTGAGAACACATAGATAAGCTGCTTTGTGGGAGAGGCCACTGTCACAACGCTGATGAAGGAGAGGGATGAGACCCTGCTAGTGGGAGAAGTAGGCTGGCCACGCCCCATTGAGCTTTCTCCTGCCCACACTGACATGAGCCAAGTCCACATACCGAAGGCCCAAGGTAGCCACTGGCTCATGCAGCCAGGGCAAAGGAAGCCTCCTCAATAACGTGCCTTGGGCAGAGAGAGCAGCTTAGGAGAGAGCTGTGGCACTCTGCAGGACAACAGTCCATCAACAGCCTCAAAGGCTCCGAGAAAAGACAGGGCTGGACACCAGCGCAGCCTTCAAGTCTCAGGAGCAGGGGGTAGGGCAGCTGCTCAGCTCATCCTCACAGACCCTGCCCCTAGACCCCAGCCCACTGCGCCCCAGCCTCCGCATGGACAGACACCTGTGTGAAGGGGAAGCAGAGGCCTCAACTCATCCAGAAACCGCCTCCAGCAGACTTGCTCAAGATGCACTGCTACCAGGGCATACACACGACAGGACTCTGCCCAGCCCCAGGCTGCTTGACCCCTGTGGAGCCACATCTGGCTGCTGTGGCTATTTAAACTGGAATTGATACGCATGTAAAACCCAGTGTCCACCACACCGTTCAGCAGCCACATGTGCCGCAGAGTAGAAAGAAGTCAAGCATGCCTAGGGTTATTGGAATTTTTAGGGGACAGTGCAGCTTTCGGGCATTGCAGATAGAAGTCAGCCTCATCACAAAATGCTCGAGCCCTCCTCTGCTTTCCTACTGCACAGGGACCAGCACCCTCCACTTTGGATGCAAGGTCTTGCACGATACAATCCCAACTTGCAGGTCACTGCCTTGCCCTACTCCACCGGGCGCCATTCACGCTGGGCTTTGGAGTCTCACTCCTTCTGAAGCTGTGCAGAGAAGGGCTTGTGAGCTAATCCTGTCTGCCCGCCACCTCCCCACCTTCCTTCCTTAAGCTCCTCACATTCTCTGCAACAGCAGTTTGTGGCAGCTACAATAACCACACGTCCTCTGAGCTCTGAGCTTCTGCACAGCCTAGTCTCATTTCGTGGAAGACTCAACTACCTAGCCATCCTCACAGAGATCTACCAACCCAGGCATCCATCCAAGTATCCATGCATGCACCTAAGCATCCATCATCTAGGCAGTCCCCCAAACATGCATCTGAGCGCGTGTGCAATGGCACACACACAAACACATGTCCCTCATCCTTTAGGTCTTACGCAAACTCCCTGGTCTCTCCCTGCTATGCATACTCATGGATCCCAGCATCTAAGGAACAGCCATCTCACAGCCTGCATAACTGAATAAGTACAGGTTTTGTCTCTTTCTGCCTGCTGAACGCTAGGCCCCAAAAGACAGAAATACAGCCCGATGTTTACGACTCTTTTCCTAAAGCCGGACACACAATGAATCCTCGGGAATGCCTTCCTCCAGGACCTTGACATCCTCGGCAGTTCCCTAGCTCAGTTCAAAGACACAGGCTCAGGACTAGAGAGAAGACTCAGTAATAAAAATAAAAATAAATAAATAAATAAATAAATAAATAAATAAATAAATAAATAAATAAATGTACTGATCTTACAGAGGACCCAGGTTCAGTTCCCAGCATCCATGTGGCCAGTTGTAATTCCTGTTCCAAGGGATCCAATGCCCTTTTCTACCCTTCTCAGGCAACAGGCATGCATGTGGTGCACAGATGTACATGTAGACAAAATACTCACACACATAAAATAGAAATAAATGTTAAGAAAATGCATACAGGTTCTCCACCTTAGACCACTGCAGACTTTGAGGGTTAATCTGCTAGGCCAAAAAGCTCTGCTCACGGGCAAGAGCCTCCTACAGAGCTTGGTAACTTAGTGGGTGGCTCTAGCCACCCAGGGCTTCTTGAGGCAATGATGGCAAAGCAACTGGGATAGTTAGTCACCACTGTTGACTGGATTCAGAATCACCATAGAAACATACCTCTGGACACGTCTATGAGAGCTTTCCCAAAGATGTTTAACTGAGGTGGAAGACCCACCATCTCATAGGGTGGGGCCCTGGGCTGAATGAAACTGAGAAAAAAGAGCTGAGAACCAGTGTTCCTCACTCCCTGCTTGACTGTGGATATGATGTGGCCAGCTGCCTTACTCTCCTGCCGTCGTGCTTTCCCTTCAATGATGGATTGTACCCCATGAACTGGGAGCCAAACTTTCCTTCCCTAAGTTGCTCTTGTCAGGTTGTTTTTGTCACAGTGATAAGAAATTACCAACACAGCCACTGACTACCCCAGAGCCAGCTTGTATCTGGGTTGGCAATGGTGCCCCGAGCCTGACAAATGGTTCTGGGGAGAGGTTTGGGCATCATGACCCTGCTCAGGAAGTGTTTCCAGAAGGTTCTGCTCACATGAGCAGATATGGGTTTGTCTAGAGCGGGTGATGGCCCAGGCTTCCTGTCCAGAAGATTCTGAGGCAGAAAATAAGTATCAGCTGCCAACGGCAGCATCCACACAGTAATTATCGGGGGGCTCTCTGCACTGCGTGGGAGCCCAAGCCATGTAATTACCCTGAAGTCGGGCAGTTATTTTCATCCCAAGAAGTGGGACAAATCATCTCCAGCTCTAAGAAACCCCTAATACCCACGAGCCAAGGCTGCCTAGGCAGCACTCACTAGGAGGACAGAGTCTGGCCCTGAGCCCAGCTCCCCGGAGCAAAAGCCCCACTACCCACACAGTCAGCTTCCCTTTCTCTGTGCTTGTCTGTCCAATGTTTCTTTGGTCTTTTTTAGATGCTGGGATTAGAAGTCAAGGCTCTACTCAGCTCCATGAACCAAGCTGATGGCTGACGTGGGGAGCCGGGGACGCTTCTAAGGTCGGCAGAGCATCACCTCAGGCCCCTGCACAGACAGAAGGGCTCCAGCACTGCACGTGGCACAGAAGAAACACATTGTGTTCACTGCAGAGCGGCAGAGCTGTGTGTCCCCACGGACTGAGCAGCGCCCGCTGCCTGCCACATGCCCTGGGCGGCAAGGTCTATAGCTGCTTGGTCTCCAGGGCCCTACAGAGTGTGTCCCTCCCATCAGGCTACCCTCGGAACCAACTCAGAGGCCAGATAGTTTTCATCATAGTCTATGTGAGCAAAGTGCTTTGAAGTCGCATGCAGCCTGCTCAGCCATCCTGAGATCCTGAGATCTTGTGTTTACCTCTCTGGGTTTGTGTCTTACTTCATGAACATCCTGAGCAACCTGGGGAGGAAGCCTGGGGCCTAAGGCTTGACAGGAAGCCCAAAGACAAAAGGGGAACTCTCTCTCCTCTGTCCAGGGGTGCTAGCCTCTCTCCTGGTTGCTGCACTGGTGCTGTTCCCTACCCACCAGGTCCCAGCTTTCAGGCTTAGCCATCAGTTTATCAGAATGAACCATCTGCTCTAAAGTATGTGTTTAGGTGTGGCCTTAGGCCTTCAGGCCCTTTGCTATAAAATGGGGATCAAATGAGGACTTCATTTTAGGGTGTTGTGAAGATTTAAGTGCTCACAGTTACTAAGAGAATAAACACTAAAACTAACTGGTAAGCTATACCTGAGTCATACCCAGGCTGGGCACTGGGTGCTGGGGCTGTTCCCATGGGCATTGAGAATCACCCACAAACTTTCAAGCGGGTCCTCACAGACGAAAGCAGCCTCTCTCTAGGGAGCTCTGACAAATGCTGGGTGAAGACCACAAAGAGACTCTGGAGGACACCTGGACACCCCTGTTTTCCAATGGGCAGAATACCACAGAGATGGCAAGAGGTTGTGGCTCCAGCACCCCTCCCCAACACATTCTGCTCCTGGACTCCTCCCACACCTTCCAGGCAATTTGGCTGGAATCGGGGCCAGCAAGGCCATCTGCTCTTTGCCTTTCCAGCTGCAGTGCTTCGCTGCATGGGGGCCCTGGTGGAAGCTGGTGACAGTTGCCTTCACAGGCAAAAATCACCACCGACAAGATTGGGTTTTTCTCTGACCCACCTTGCCCTGCAGAACTCACTGCTTCACCCAATGCTGGTGAGTGACCCACAAGCTCAGGGGGGTGGGTCCTGCTCCTGCACCCGAGGACTGATGCAAGGGTCTTTTCACAGCAAAGTGGAGCTTGAGCAAGGTGCATCTCCCCAGGGTGCCCAAGGCCCACCTGCTGCCACCTAACCAGGCGACATGCTCATGGACACCAATCACCATTTCCTCTTCACTGTAGCTTCTTCTCCATGGCCTCAAGGTGCTGCAAGAACTAGTCCTGAGGAATTCACCCTCCAAGTCCCTGATTGCTCCCTCCCCTGATCGCTTGCTCCTCTTGCTGCACTGGCTTCTTGGATTTTTCAAACCAACCAAAGCTGGACTCCCAGCCCCCAGGCTCCACCTGCTCTCCTCACCTGCATCTGAAACCTTCCTTCCTTCCACCCTGGGCCAGCAAATACTTGGTCATCCTTCAGATTGCGGCCAAATGTCACCTCCCTGTGGGCACTGTGCCCTTTCACACTGCGGGAGCCTCTACTTCATGCCCCACACAGCTCCTTACCCCTGAGTCCTGGGGATTACCTCTCATGCTGTCTTACAGACAGGAGCTCCTCGGGGAGGGTGACTCAATGAAAAAGCAACGATTGGGGGCAACAGAGAGCAGGGAGCAATGCCCTCTCCTGGCCTCCTTTGTCCACATGAGGAGACCAGGAGGCTGGCTTCAGCCCTACCTCACATGGTCTTGACTCTAGTTTGCACCAGGTAGCCATCATTTCTGCTCCCCTCCCCCAATATTCCTTTCTCTCTCTGACCCTGGGCCCTTGCTTGCTCCTTCTGTAGCCCAGTACCTACTGTGCAGAACCTGGAGCTCACTGTTTCCCAGGCATCACACTAGCCAGTCCTCACAGTTGGGAGGATCCGAAGCCCATGGCTACTGCTGTACCTCTACAGATGGGAAACTGAGACTGGGATCTGGGCATGTGCGGATGACTTGCCCAATGTAGCAGGGAGGTATGTATGTGAGGTTTGACATCGAGAAAAGTTTTCTTTATTGAAAAGATCGTTTTCATTATCATCATCATCATCATCATCATCATCATTGTTTGCGTGTATGGGTGTATGTCTGTGTGTATCTGTATATGTGTGTGTGTGTTTCCGTGTGTGTATCTTTGTGTGTTTGTGTGTGTGTCTGTATATGTTTGTGTATGTATACCTGTGTGTGTGTGTGTGTGTGTGTGTTTGATGGGAGGGGCCATGAATGTACCACAGCGTGCATGTGGAGGTCAGAGGACAACTCTGTGAGCTGGTTCTCTCCTTCTACCTTTACAGGGGCCCCAGGGATCAAACTCAGGTTATCAGGCTTGTGCAGCAATCACCTCTACCCAAGGCTTGGGATTTGAACCCACGCTTGGTTGGCTCCAAAGCCTGTACAACGAACCATTCCGCCAAAACACTGCCAAATAAAAATCATGGAAGAGATGGCAAAAAGTGCAAGGAAAGGTCAGAGCTGCTGCCAACAGAGCTCCATGTTCTAGAACATCACGTGGGAAAGAAGACAGCGACGATGACAGCAGTCACTGCTGCAGCCTTGTTATTACCATTTGCAAATGAGGTCTGCAGGTACGGAGGCAGACAGTTAGCCTGAGGTCACGTGGCAAAGGAGCAGCAGCTTTGCAAAGAGCTAGAACCTGCAGTGCATTGCATCTTCCTTCCTGCTGCCTCTCCATCCTAGGCAGACCCTGCCACCCTTAATTCTAAGCACCTTGATGTCCTTCCTCCAGCTGTCACATGCCACCCGTGGGGACTGTACCTCCTCCATGGAAAATCCTACCCACAGTGATCCTGTTTCCCTTCCTCAATGTGCCAACAGAGATGCAATGGGTCCACCCCTTATCCCAGCACATCCAGAAAGTGAAGTTGTCTTGGTCCTCATTTCACTGTGCTTCTAAAATCACTCCACTGAGCAATTGCAACTTTCCACCCACCACTCCTCGTCCCTGGAGAAGAAATAGCCAGAAATAGTTGCTCGCAGGGAATCGTGGCTTCCTGGGGCTGGGGGCAGAGGCTCAGTCAAGTGTAATGGTGGTTTCTCAGTGACAGATTCAATAGACCCTCTTCTGGAAGTCCTGGGTGATGAGTCAGCTGTGGTGAAGAGTAGCCCAGGAAGATGCTGGCTTCCTTCAAAGTAACATTCCCAGGCTGAGAAGTGAACCCCCCTTCTCCCCAAGACATTAGCCGTTCTAGAGGAGGAGACATCAAAGAACAAGTGATCCCATGGGGTGACTACAAATCTCATCCACTGCTGGTGGGATGTGAAAGGGTGCGGCTGCTTTGGAATAAATATCTCAAGTGACCACATGATCATATGGCCTAGCAGTTCCACTCAGTGCACTGAGCCTGTGTGTCCACACAGACACTCACAGGGTAGGCAGGGTGAGGCAGTACATGCCAGGAAACCCATCATCCAAGAGGATCATGATTTCCAGGCCAGCCAGAGCTACACGTTGAAACCCTATCTCAAAAATCCAAACAAAACAAACTTATACACTCGAATTTACAGCAGAATTGTTGATAACAATGCCAAGGTATGAATAGCCTATGTGTCCCCCAACTGATGAATGGATAGATGGAATTCTAGCCATTGGAATATTGTTCTGTCCCCAAAACAATTCCGAAGGTACCTCGGTAGGCCAGAAGATCTAGATAAAAAAGATCTCATGTTACAAAATCCTGTGTACATGTGTCGGGAAATGTCCAGAGCAGGCAGGCAGGTGTACTGGGGTATGGCAGGGTTGGGTCAGGCAGGCAGAATGAAGTAACTGCTGGAGGCCAGAGTTTCCCTTGGAGATGATGTACCAGAATCAGACAGTAATGACAGCTATGGAAAGCCTTGTACTAAAGACCATGGGAGCACACACCTCAGAAAGTCTGCAGTCAATGGTTTATGAACCATGCATGAGCTTGTACAAAGAGGAGGGCTCCAAGCTAGACCTGGGAGTGAGAGCTCAGTAGCATCCATTTTCCTCATTACTGTGCTCACAAGACCGAGACAGGCCCAATACACATTACACGTGGTGAGCATCCGTGATCTGACCTCTACCTACATCTCTTCGCATCCTCCCTCTAACCACCATGGGCCCCTTTCAGGACCTTCCAGGCCCCAGCATCTCTGGGCCTTCTCATGCGTTCTTCCTTGAAGTTGTCTTTCTTAACTTTCCTTAACTTGTTAGTCATCCCTTAGCCTTTGGGTCCCATCTTAATTGTCAATGTCTCTATGAGGACTCCCCTACTCTCACCTCCCACCTACTGGCTCCCAGGATGGCCAGGTACATTTCCAGTATGTTCTTTCTGTCCAGTCTAAGAACACAATGCCTTTGCTAGGCTCTCAGCTCTGGAGGTGGGTGGTGTGGGAGAGTCATCTTTTGCTACTGTAATGCAGTTCAGGCTCTAGTTAATAACTGAGGCTGCAAAGAAAAAAAAAGGCCCATGTAGCCTCTGCCCAAGTTGAAGAACTGACTGGAGCCTCTGTTCTTGGACTCTGCTTTCCCTGTGGGTCAGGAATAACCCCAGGAAAGGCCCCAGACTCTGCCGTCTCAGAGAGAATCTTTATCCCCTGACTTGTGCCAAGAGGTTCATTTCTCTCTTGGCATCTCTGATACCCTCTGTATAATCGGGACAAGACGCCTGGGGCCACGTCAGGCACATAGCTACAGTCTGCTTTCCAGAACTTGCATGTCCAGGGTAGGTGACATTAATATTGGTTACCAAATGCTTCTGCCCACGTGTAATTAGCCCCTAGTGTCAGGGATGTGCAGGCAAAGTGACTACAGCCCCTTTAAGAGGTAATCTTGTCTGCCTTCTGCTATGGATGGATGGATGGATGGATGGATGGATGGATGGATGGATGAAAACAGACCTTTACATTGTATCCCAGACCAGCTTTGAACTCATTCTCTAGCCCAAGATGGCTTTGAACTATTCACTATGGTGCCTAGCTTTCTTGTCTGGAGAACCAGCTTGTGGGGCTAAGGGCTCAGAAACACTTGTTGAGTTGAGCAAATGAACAAACTCAATCTCTCTCTTCTAAAAAGCACAAGGGAAGATTTATAGTGAGCAGGAGTGCAAAGTTCACAGTTCATCCTTCTTGGACATGTAGGTTCTCTCTGAAACACAGGGCAAGACAGGAGGGGGATTGCTAGTGAGTGAGAGAGTCTATACCAGACCTCCTAAGAGGGAGAGCTGCATGGAGCTTCGAGGAGGGCCTGTGCCCTCTACCTCTCCCCTCCCCCCCTACACCGGCACCCATTAACTTCCCCTTAGGCATCTTGCTTTCTATAGCATTTAATCTCCAAGACTCTGACAAGGGGACCATGTGTCCTCCAACACAAGCCCTCGGCTGTCCCATTCCCTGAGGGAAGCCCAGCTCCCCAATTCCTCAGTGACTCCACCCCCAGATCCACACCCTACTACCCCCAGGGGCTGCTCAAGAGAAACCCAACCCAAGCCCTGTCTGTTCCTCTAGCCCGCAGCCTGGGAACTCTCCAAGGTTCTGCACTTCCTTCCCTCTCCCCAGCTGTCCCAAGTTCAATCCTCTTTCCTTGCTTCCCTTTGTTCTCCTCATCCCATCCCATCCCTCCCAGCACATGTCCCTTTGCATCTCTCCTGGCTTTTAAAAATAGTACAATTATTTCATAGCTCCAGGCAGGGACCACGTAAAAATATTCTCAACCTTCCAGGTTATGAGATACATACATGTAGACCCTGCTATGGCCTCGTGGCCACCACAACAACATCTAACACAGGCTGGTTACTTTCCAAGCACAAGACACCAGCGAAGATGTTATTGCCCCAGCCATTCGGCAGAAGAACCCTACGACGTGGTGCTGGAGTCAGCCCATTCAACAGAGAACTGGCATGATGTGTCTAAGCCTGTTTTGCTGGGAATTACTGAGATCATTTTCAGCCTAGTTGATTCCATGTGTACCTGGTGCCAATCCCCCAAACCTAAGTGGCAAATGCAGGCACTGGGGCTACAGAGATGGTTGAACAATTCAGAGCACTCGCCACTCTTCCACAGAGCTCTAGTTTGGTTCCCAGCACCCATACAGAGCAGCTCACAACTGACTGTAAATCCATCTCCAGGGGGCCTGAAGCCTTCTTTCGGGTTCTGAAGAAACCTGAGCACACATGGTATACATACACACACACACACACACACACACACACACACACACACACACACGGGTTGGGGATTTAAAATTTTAAAAAGACAGGCACAGTGGCATACATTTGCAATCCCCAAAACCTGGAGAAGCAGTAACTCTCTGGTGTATACTAGCCAGTCACCCCAGTCAAATTGGTGAGCTCAGACCAATGAAGGACCTTGTCTCAAAAACAAGATAGATGGGGGCTGGAGGGGGAGGGGGTGGCTCAGTGGTTAAGGGAACTTGTTCTTTCAGAGGACTGCGGTTCAATTTCCCAGGACCCACGTGGTCATGATGGTCAGGCATCTGACAGCTTCTTTTAGTCCCACAGGCACCAGGCACGTACATAGTGCACACAGGTACATGCAGGCAAGACATTCTTACCCATGATACATCTAAAACAAACAAAAACCCAAGATGGCCAACTTCTGAAGAAGAAGGCCCAAGGTTGTCCTCTGGCTTCTACAAGCAAGTATGTTTGTGTGTGTGTGTGTGTGGCTTCTACAAGCAAGTATGTTTACCCACACAGACACACAGACACGCAATAGACTTCACTGAAGTTACAAAAAGAAAGAGGTAACAATAAAACTCAACACAACAAAGCATGGAACGCAATGATGCCACGCCATAACTCCACACTAGCATAAATGCAACAGTCTTTCTTCCCCTCCACTCTAAAGACAGTAAAGATTTGTTTTGCTACGACTGGAAAAATGTTCAGTGTGCACTGGTAACAAAGAGTGATGGCATAAACACAACAACAGAGAAGCTAAAAATAAAGGAGCGCTCCAGTATAAATCGGGTGGAGGCAAACACGGAGAAAGAGGGGGCGGCAACAGTACTATGATGCAGAATGGAATTCTGGGAAAACAAAGAGGCGATGAACTTGAGGTTGATCAAAACAGACACTACAGGATGACATAGCCTCCCTTGTGTTCCATGGAGGCAAAGTTAAGTACAAGCCAGAAAGCAGTTCAGTGGCTGCCTGGGCCCAGGGGTACGGAAGTCAGTTCTCTTGGTTAGGGAACTCTCCGAATTGCCCAGTCAGTCAGTAGAGTAAAACCCAACAAGGCAAAAACTGTTAGAAGTCAAAAGCATAGCTATCTTAGGCGCCCTTAAGACACACCCTGAAAACAAGATTAGAGAATGGGACTGAAGAGATGGCCTGGCTACTAAGAGCAGAGCACCCAAATTCAGTTCTCAGCATCCACAT